TGAAAATTTTTCTAGCTTTCTAGCTAGAAAATAGGAGCACTTTTTCTAGCTGTTCTAGCTTTTCTAACTTTTCTAGCTTTGTTCAACTTTTTCTAGCTCCGAGAGAGAGTCTCAGAAAATGCACTCAGCTCCTCGGAAAATGTCTCGTGAAGTTACGGTTTCCCCCACCCTGAAGTGCCACTTTTCTTTTCTGGCTCAGAATTTCGAAATCAATCAAATGGCGCCACTTTTGAAGCGATTTGGAGTGAGTTTTTATACTAACTTTAAGGTCACGCTTTCCGTTTCCAAGAAAATTTCTCCGAAAATGGCGCCATTCGTTTCGTTTCAAAATTCTCAGCTAGTTTTAGTGTGCACTAAGTTGAATTTACGGTAGAATTTGCACAAAATTCGATTTGCCGGCTGGTACAGTTCGGTGATAGTTTTCGGAGAAATGAAAAATGGTTTTAAGAAATCGCTTTTATTAAAAAGATCAAACGTCGTATCGTCAACAATTTTTGCCAACTCCAGAACGCCTACCCGGAATGGACGAAACTTGGCGAGATCAGGATATCGAAGAAAAACAAGAAAGGAAACAAGACGGTCAACAAAAATGTGTTCGAATTGGCTCGCCTTCTCTACGATAATGGACTTCTGATGGCTAAAGAATGAGGAAATTGTTTACTTATTCATCTTGTTTTATTCTGGTTAGCCTTTCTTGAATATTGGATTCGTGAATTGAAAACTGCCGCCGGCTATTGTCATCTGTGTCAGTTTGAGCACTTTCTTCAAAAGAAACCCATTTTGGTGTCAATGGAAAAGTTGTAGAGAATCAAAAACTAAGCTTATATCGAAATTTTTAGAACGATTCAAAAACTGGTTTTCAAGAAATGCCAAATTTACGAATTTTCAAAAAATTGCAACAAAACTTGCATTTTAAGCGAAACTACTAAGTGTATCTTTTTGGAGATTTGGCTATAAGCCTAATTTTTGATTCTCTACAACTTTTCTATTGACACCAAAATGGGTTTCTTTTGAAGAAAGTGCTCAAACTGGGACATCTCCAGTCCTCCATTTTTGAGTCTCACACTTGTCTCACACACTTGTACGGGGAGTTGCTGGATAGCAAGACGACCGTTAATGCAATCAAATACAGCAAACAGTTGGGAAAGGTGAATGAATCCCTGAAAAAGAATAGGTCCTCCAAGTCAAAGATCGTTCTCCTTCACGACAACGCGCGCACTCGTGTTGCAAAACTGACTCGCTCTAAAATAAATAGCCTTTTTTGGGAACTTTTGGCGCATTCCCCATACAGTCCGGACCTCGCCTCTTTTGATTACTATTTATTCCGGATCATGAGTAATGAGCTTGCGGGAGAACACTTCGATTCGGAAGAAGCAGTCAAAAGTTGGCTTTGAAAGTTTTTCGATTCAAAACCAAAATCCTACCACGAAAAAGGAATCCGCAAATTGCCTGTAAAATGGGCAGAAGTCGTCAATAATAATGGAAATCATTTGGAATGGATTTATGGCTTTATGTTGAATGAATTTTAGTTCAAAGTCCGGCAGTTTTCAATTCACCAACCCAATAGTTGTTGTTTTGTTGCGGTTGATGTTACGCTTATTTTCTATAAAATCGCCAGTAAAATCGATGGTATAATGGAAATTTTGAATCATTTTAATCATAACTATCATTTCAAAATGACGCTTCCTTAAGTTTTTATTATCAAAGGCTATTTGCAATCCGTTTTCCACCAATCGCTCACCGCCGTATTGTAGTAGTGCGTGTGGTCCTGGAAATGGGTAAATCTGAATTGTTTGATTGCTAAAATTGCAATAATCTCACCAAAAATACTCACATCGAATTGCCACATGATCTTGCTGTTCGCGCATTGACCGATCAAATCACCATAGGGGCAAATTGTGTAGTTGGCGGTAGTCATCGCATTGTCGTACCTGGGAAAGGCTTTTGGTCAACAAATTTGATATTTGATCACAGTTTTGGTATCACAAATCTTACTCTCACCAAAAGCTGGCCTCAAATTTCAATTCTCCTATTGATAGTAGTAACTCTTGATAGTCCTCTTCATCCTTCTTTCTTCTTCTTTTCAATGCCGGCTCTTGCTCACCAAATTTCGAAACGATGATGCATCAGATCGACCTCTTGTGGCGGAATGTGAGGAATTGGCTCGAGGTGGTGGACCACACGGTAGGAGAAGGGAATCTGGGAAGTGGAAAGGATTGAAAAGGATTTTTGATTTGACTCACATTGGCGTCATGCCACTCCGCGTATCTCACATCGCCTGTCCTCCGCTGCCCGATTGTCATCATTTTTATCTAGAAAATTGAATTCTCCACAAATTCTCCACACTTGACTTTTCCCCGCGATTCTCTCACCTTTTCCGGTTCGAAAAGCCCCTGTTTGACGAGATACGCGGCGCAAAGAGACGCGAACGATCCGCCAAGTGAATGCCCGACGATCTAGAAGATTTTTTTGGAAAAGAACACGATTTTCGGTGATCCTGGAACGCACAGCACTCTTGGACATAGTTTCTGTTTGGAAAAATCGGCTTTTAAAAGTCAGCACGGTCACCTCCGAAATTGTTCAAGCTAAAATTTAGCCAAAATTTGCATCTCTACGTGCAATCGGCTAGCGGCAACCCCAAATTGGAACGCACTTTAGAAAATCGGCTTAAAAGGTGAGCAGGATATGGTTGATGGAAATTTGGGATACGGTAACGTATCGACTGTTTAAGCTGAAAGTCGAATTCGGCGAAATTCGACCAAAGTAGCTATTGTATCCCCGAAATTGGAGCGCATTTCAGAAAAGTGCGCTCAAGAAAGCACTCACATAGACGTCGTACGTTGGGTAGACTTTTCTCAGCGTCATCACTTGCGCCTTCAAGCCGGCGCGCCACAAAAAGAAGAACCCATTAAAGAAATAGTCATAAATTAAGCCGATATTCAAAAAGTTGTCTTTTTTCCTGAAATCTGGATGTCATTCAATAGATTGGCAGTCATAGTTAGCGGAAATGAAATTTTTAAAAAAACATTTTCTATAAAATCTTACCAAGCGAATTTCCAGGGTTTTTTTCTGAAAAACCAAAAATTTTAAATAATTTTTTGGCCTATCTGGAACGCACACTTTATGTAAAAAAAAACTTTAAATTTAAACTTTTTAATATTTAAAAATTTTTTTACTTTAACATCCCCAATATCTCGGCGACTGTCTCAAAGTTTCCGCTTGTGCCGCGAAAAGCGATCATTATCGCTTTTCGGCCGAGATCGAAAGCCGTATACGAATAACAGAAATCACCTGGAGAACTTATAAAGTAATTTCAATGAAATAAAGACTTTTATTGTAGTGATCACATGCGACGAGGGTACTGTTGTAGAAATAAGTTGTGGAGAGCTGATTTCTTCAAAAAAAGGATTATCTTTTGATTAATAATGTGAGACTTATAAAGGAAAAAGACCCTGTACCAGACTTGTTTAAAAACTCACTTCAAACATGGCTGCGGATTAGCGGAATACGTTGCCGCCAACAATGGAAGTACCATCTTTCTCCCAAACGTGTCATCGAAGGGAAAATTCGCGTTTGGAGATCGCGGGCAATTGTAGGAATCCTTCTAGGAAAGGAGGAAAGGATTTCGGCCAAATTTCGATTCGAAATCGATTGTAAACCTGTAGAAAGATTTCACTCTTGCAGTCATCTGGCCTTTCATTTCATCTTTCTTTTCCGAAAAAAATTCCCCATTTCCTTAATTTCCCATTTCCTCAATCACTCACCCACAACCACAACCACAACCAATAAAGTACGTTAAAGGAAAAAAAGATTAACAATATGAAGACTTTGGCCTACGGTGTAAAATGTGTGTAAAATTTTAGAAAGATTTGAAAAGAAATCACAAGCGCTAACCGAGAGAGCAATGCAATCCATATGCAATCTCGCGTTCTCGTCGATTCTGATGTGCTTCTTGAAGGTCCATATGTGAGAAGATTGTGATTCCCGCTTCCTCATTTGCTCGATTCGAGGCCCAACCTCCGAGAAAACGAAAACTGAACAAAAAGAAGTTAGTGACAAGCTTGTGACGAATCCTTTACTAATCGTATTCTTAAATGATATCTATCAGATATGTATTTTCAAATGTTATTTGCTCAAAACTGTAACACCTTGGCGCATCAAGTTTCACATATCCTTTCTCCAAGCATTTCTGTTGCCACATCCGATCATCTTCACAAATTCGCTGCCACGTCCGCGAAACGCCAGCACAAGTGATCAAATCACGCGGTGTCAAATAGGCGATGATGCGATATGCAACCTAAAAACAAACAATTAATCCCACAAGCTTTAACAAAAGACAAACCTTTTGTGCTTCATTTACAATTATAGTTAATTCAATTAAATTTAGTGCTCAAAACTTTGCGGCTAAATGTGACGAATGAAAAAAACTTCGTGCGTTCAGGTTAAATACCCGTAAATCTTCGCCGCCCGCAGCTTCAACACCCCAGCGTCTTTTCAATCCTGCTGATAAACCTAACCTTATCTACGAGATGGTGCACTAAAGGTTATTTTGTGGGTGAATGGAATAGAGCTTTCTGAAAATTGGAACCACAAAATAAGGTTTTGTGTATATTCTACCGTAGGCCTTTTGATGGCGGGTTCTAAAACGCGCCCCTTTCATGTATTTAAGGAGACTTTTTGCGATTAAAGTCATTCTTATCAAGTCGTTTAGCAGGTGTAGGCACCGTAAATGCTGTAATAGTGCCCCATGCCTCTAGTGCCCTAAGGGTAGACTTGGTTATCGATTTTATGGATACAAACGGCATGCTAATGTTTGAACGTTCAGATCTCTGTTTCTAGAACAGTTATCAACTTATTTCATTGGAAAGCTTTCATTCATTGTAATGGCTGCGGTACCATTACAATATTTACGGTAGCGAGTAATAGTACTATTTTGCTCAGGGGTTTTTCGTTTTCTTACTTACGGTGTTATCTCTGCTGTAATTTTTCATTTAGGGGAGATGTCGGACAATCCGGAGAGCAGCAAGACTCAACCTGAAGAGTAAAGAAAATGACCTTAAACAGTTAAATCTTCAAATTCAGAGATATCATCGATCCATTGTTCCAGAAGGATTTCTTGTCACAGTTGCCACAGGAGGTTTGTATTTTGTTAAAGCTTGTGGGATTAATTGTTTGTTTTTAGGTTGCATCTCGCATCATCGTCTATTTGACACCGTGCGATTTGACGGTTTGTGCTGGCGTTTCTCGGACGTGGCAGCGAATTTGTGAAGATGATCGGACCTGGCGACAGAAATGTTTGGAGAAAGGATATGTGAAATTTGATGCGCCAAGGTGTGTTAAAGTTTTGAACAAATAATAGAACATTTAAAAATACATATCTGTATTAGATCTATATTAAACTGGGTCTTACACTTCTAAGGTAGAGGATGATACTGTTACTGATTCAATAATGTTATTATTCTCCAGCAAAGAAAGCTTTAAAGCGAAAGAAAACAAATGATAATGTTTCTTCCGATGAACTGGATCAGATTTAAGAATACGATTAGTAAAGGATTCGTCACAAGCTTCTCACTAACTTCTTTTTGTTCAGTTTTCGTTTTCTCGGAAGCTGGGCGACGAATCGAGCAAATGAGCAAGTGGGAATCAAAATCTTCTCACATATGAACCTCCAAGAAGCACATCAGAATCGACGAGAACGCGAGATCACTTATGGACAGTTAGTGACGCAACTTGTGGCTGAATTAAATTTTTTCTAGGTGTTATGAGCGATCGCCATGGAAGTCACTGTACTTGCGGAAGAAGCGGATCATTTCCAATTGGCTTTCCCGAGCGATTCAATCAAGCACTGTTCTTAAGGTTTGGACAAATGCTTTGGCGATAAAAATTCTTTTTAGGGCCGTGGCGATGAACATATCAGTTGTCTACAAATTCACTCTGGTCATATCATAGCTGGGTATCATAGTAAGACGTTGTGGGTCTGGAATGTTGATGATGCTGAAGTTTGTTTCGTTTTATCATTATTGTACGTCTTAATTTAGCCGGCTTTCACTCTAACTGGCCATATCGGTATGTTTTGGACGTCTCAAATGAGTGATGATGGCAAATACATTGTCGGGTTAGTTAATAGGCTCTAGTTAGTGCAATTCATAAGTGTTTCGAATGAAGCTAACAATTTTCTAGATAAAAGTACTTGTGGTAGCAAAATCTATTGCAATATTTAAGTGGCGCGAATGATGGAATGGTGCGCGTTTGGTGTGGTCAAACCCGTGCACAGCGTCATGTTCTGCAGGGGCATACGAGTGAAGTGTACTGCATGAGTCTACATGGTACAACGTGAGTAATCTAATTTTGTACTTTAGCTAAAGCATAATGTTTTAGTCTTGTTTCTGGATCTCACGATCAAACGCTCCGAGTCTGGGACATCGTTGACGGGAAATGCCTTCACATTTTGACTGGCCACATGGCGGAGGTAGGTGTATCAAAGTTATAGCCTAAGCAGAGTTAAATTTCAGGTTTGCTGTGTGCAATTTGATGGAATTCGGGTTGTGTCTGGTGCTGATGATTTTACTGTAAAGGTTTGTAATGCTTTTTTGTTCAATTTTATAATATTCTATAAGGTTTGGAATGTACACACGGGAGAGTGTTTGCACACGCTGACGGGTCACACGAAGCCAGTCTCGAAGCCACTTTTGGTGAGTTGAATTTTCAATTCTTGGCTTTAATCACGATTCTGTTTTAGTTTGAGCCTGAGCGCGATCTTGTCGTGTCGGGTAGTCATGACGGAACGCTTCGCGTCTGGGATGTGCAAAGAGGAAGTGGGTTTTACTTGTTCGCTATTCTGTTGCAATATCATTTATATTTGTTTCTTTTAGCATGCATCGCAATTCTTCTCAGTCCTGGAAGGGGCTGGGGCTCTGGCATGCAACTTCGCGGAAACATTTTGGCCTGCTATTACGACTCGGACATTTTTGTATGTTTAATCAATCCTATGAAACCTAAACCACTTCCTTTTCGTTAGGTTTGGGACATTCGTGACGGTGGTTCGTGCATTCATCGCTTACAAGGCGTAAATGGTCACACGTCGTACATCACTTCATCTCAATTGCTCGAGTCGGGACTTTTGGTAACAGCTTCTTACGATGGCTGGGTCAAGCTCTGGGATGTGGATAAAGGTAAGTGGTTCTAAATTACCTAGTAATGTAGGCTAGAAGATAAGCAAACTTATCCAGACTTCAAGTTTTCTTCTAAAGTAGAATTTATTAACTACATAATTTGACTCGTTAACTATTCAAGTTTAAATCGATGTTCAGGGTTAGTATTCTGTTGTTAGTTTTTTTATCAACTATACGAGAATTTTTGTGATTTTCAGGTACCTTTGTTCGTGACCTCGTTCGTCTTCAGGCAGACAGTTGGATTTGGAGACTCTTCGCGACCGAAACATTTCTCCTATGTGCAATTGCATCGCGAGACAGAACCGAGGACGGAAATTTCATGTTGATCGATTTTGACGCATCGTATCCTTAGTTATATTCTGATTTAGCGTTTGTGATTTCCTTTCAAATATTTCCCAAATTTTGCGCACTTTCTTGTATGCCAAAGTGTTCATTTTGTTTACCTTTATTTTGCCATTGATCTGCTTTTATTTACTAAAAATTATTCTGATAACAACAATCTTTTCGTTTTTCTGTCAAGAGTTCCCTTGTGTAATTCTTTCCAGGGGTGTTTCTATTGCTTTCAGTTGTGTGTCTCGTTTTCGTTTGAGAATTTACACATGCAAGATAAATGGCTCAAAAAAAACACGAAAAAAACACGAGCGACGACTTATATACGACTTTTTTTAAAGATATTCAGCCGTTTAAATGACTTGGTGGCAAATTATTCTAAACATTAAAAGGGCACAAAATACACGAAAAAAAATGGCACAAAGTTCTGTATTTTGTTTGGAAAAACGATCCCTCGGGAGCCAACTTTTTAAAGTCATCCGAAAACCTGAGCAATTAGAAGTAATTGAGATTTAGAAAAAATTTCCAATGAAGAGCTTTCTTTTCTGAAAGCTTTTGCAATGAAGAATGGTTTTATGGCAAGATTTCTATAGTTATTTTTCGTTTTTTCTCTACATATGCGTCGTGGTGACGAATTGGAGAAGCAAGAATCGACACTTCGACTCGTCATTTTTTCGAATTTTTCTCGTTATTGGTTTGTGTTTTTATAACTTTTGCTTTTGCTTTGGATTTGGGAATAAATTGAAGTTTTTCTTTTTAATCTTATCCAACGATGCAGTTAGTTAAACTGCAGTTGACTGAACGAGGGAAGGGAATTGTTATTGAGGAAGTTACAAATGAAATAGTTTCTAAAAGAACCCCTAAACCCTCCAAGCTATTTTTCCAGGCGTCATCGACTTGGCATCGTTTGCATTTTTCCAAATGAATCCCCTCCTTCAATCATCGCCACCCGGAAGGACAATCTTGCAGATCTTTTTGCAGGTCTCAAAAAAACCAATAAAAAGATCACACGAAGCTTTTCAGCTTTTCCGAACCGGCCACTGCATGTTATCCGTGGTGATGTCATTAAATCGTCTAACAAGTGTTCTCTATCCGTTAAATAATCAAAAGGTATTGTTCATTCAAAAATTCCGATATTAAAAGACTGATTACAGATTTGGGAAGAGAAGAGTGATCGTAATTTGAAAAGAGCGATCGGATTCGCGTTTTTTTTCGACTTCCTCTCGCAATGTCACTCGATTACGTTCATTTTTCTATGGGGTTGGAAAGACTCGTCGCTGAGCTATCCTCAGATTCCCAGTTTTGATGCGGTGAGTGCAAATTCTTGTTCCAAACTTTCTATTCAATTCATACGTTTTTTTATAAAACCTATGATATTTCTCTATCAACCAAGGGTCATTTTTCAGTGGCACCGGCTTTATTACGCCGTTCTGGTGACTACGGTGGCCGCACTCGGTCTGAGCATGAATGTGATAACTGTGTGGAAAATGAGGTTAGTCGTTTACATTTCTGTTCCTTAATGAGCTATTGCGAAGAGGCAGGGTTTTAAGTATGTATTTTTATCTTCAAGTGATGGATTATGAGTCAATTAAGATACGCGTTTATGAGCCGTTTTTGGCGTAAAGTTCTTCCGTTTTGTTTTGCTCAGAATAGATTACAAAGATCAGTGTAGTTGCTAAACCAAAATTTTCAGGTAACTTCAAGTCAAACCAAGCCACAAAAGCTATATAAGATTTGGTTCAGCTTTGGTTCAGATTTGGTTCAGCTTTGGTTCAGATTTGGTTCAGCTTTGGTTCAGATTTGGTTCAGCTTTGGTTCAGATTTGGTTCAGCTTTGGTTCAGATTTGGTTCAGATTTGAAGAAGCTAATAAAATTTGATCAAGTTAGAGTTAGAGGTTTGACCGTTTAGAGGTTTAACAAAGAAATAACAACAATGGAGTATGCTCGGGATCACCATCTTCAGCACGCTAATCCAGATCCCTGCCGCTCTTTTCTTTGTGAGTTGCAATTCTCTTTTGCATTCGACCTCTCCAATTTTCAGAGCACTCTTTCCTATACGGCATTCACGGGTAATCCACTCGAGCTGGCATCACTTATTGGCCAATTTGTAAGTCTTTCATTCCAATCAATTATCTTCAAACGAGAACTCAAAATTAGAACGTGGATAGCTCTGTACATTTGCAATTAAATTTCAGTTTTCCCCAGAGCCTAACAGAGTTTTTTGAGCATTTTAGTCTAAACAACTATTGATACACTTTGTAACAAAAATTATAGACGATGATGACATTTTTTATGCAGACTTTACTAGGTATGACTAAAATTCACTATCTCTTATCTTGTAATCAAGCCTCTCCAGCCAACAAGCTTCTCCAGAAGAAGACGAGCTAATATTTGAGTAGCATAAAAGCAAATTTCAGTCTAGTCTAGTCGCTCTGTTCGTCGGCAACTATCAACCCTATTGGGTGCTAGTGACGTCGAAGGAGTTGAGAAGAGAGATGCATTGGAACGCGCGAAGGTGCTTTGGTCTGGTTACAAACAGGAGCGAACAAATTCATCTTCAATTAGCAACTTGGACTAGTTAATTGCCCAATTTTAACATTTACCGTTTATGCATACAAATAAAGTTGACCCAATGGGGCTATTCATACTAATTTTCTTGGTGTTTTTATTTAACAGCACTCAACAGCAACAGCACTCAACAGCAACAGCACATTACCCAATGAAATGATCACAACTCGATGCTCCTGAATTTTTTGTGTCATTTTACATTTCTGAGAAACATATTTTCTGATTCTACTCAAAATTTCAAGCATTTCCCTTGAATTCCTTGACGGCCTTGACCGCCTTGAACGCCTGGAACGAGAGGCATCCGGTGGGAAAGCGAATACGAGAAAGGATGCATCGATCACAATCCTGCAATTCTTGATTCACATTTGCTAATCCGATTCAAAAGAAGTTTAGAAAAGACTTTTGTAGAATGAAAGAAGTTAAATAAATCATATCTAGCTTATTAAATTATTTGAAAAATTGCTGTAATAGGCTGATAACTTCGTAGAATTTTTTGATCAACTTTTAAAGCTGTAATTTCTCAAAAACTCCATCATCAATTTTCTAAAAATTTTCGAACAAATAAAAGCTATTGTTGGAAAAGTTTTTGCCAAAATACGAGAGCAATCGTGCAACTGGTTTCGAAGATTTCATTAGTTGATTGGTTCGTGGCGCCTTTTGAGGGAAATGTCTCAATTGAGCTTTCCATAGTCGAGTTTTTAGATTAAAAAGATCAACCTCAAAAATTTAAAAATTTAAATTTTTAACCCTCCTTTTTGCAGGCTTCGAAACTCCCCAAATCACAAAAATCCGCCAACAGGACGGCATTCCGCAAAACGATTTCAACATGCTGTGTTCCTGAATTGAAAGTTCGATCCACCACCGCTAAATCACCAATTTTATTCTCAGCCAGCCATTGAATCTCGAAAACTTTGAATTGAAAACTCTGAAATGATCATAATCCTACAATAGAAACTCAAGGAAATGACTAAACAGTAGATTTTGAGCTGTTTTGTTGTCACTTACCGTAACTGTTCAAAATTCCTCCTTCTCAAGGCCTCTCCCTTCTCCCAGAGATCTGTTTGATCTGTTGACAAAAAGAGCATCGAAATGGACATCCCCTTTGCGTTTCCCATCAAATAAAATGTTGTGGAGGGATTATACCGGAAAGGATTGGAGAGGGGAGGGATTCCAAACCAGCACGGGCAACTCGACTGTCTAGAAAAAGAAAGCCAAGCCAACTTTTGTAAAAAGTCAAAACTTCAAAAAGTTTCGTATAATTACCATCTGGTTGTCCAGCAAAGTGAAGCCCAGCAATTTTTGGATATTTCTCTTTTGACGGAAGATATTCTAATAGACAAATCTTCGCGCCGCCCGCAGTTTCAACACACCAGCGTCTTTTCAATTCTGCTGATAAACCTAACTTTACCTGCCAGATGGTGCACTAAAGGTTATTTTGTGGGTGAAGCGCTAAAGAGCGCAATGGAATGGAGCTTTCTGAACAGACCCACAAGATGGTTTTGTGTACATTCTACCGTAGGCCTTTTGGTGGCGAGATCTACAACGCGCCCCTTTCGTGTATTTAACGAGACTTTTTGCGATAAAATTCATTCTGGTTTTGTGTACATTCTACCTAGATAGCCTACAAAAAGTCAATTCTTTTAGTAGGCTTATCTACCGTAAATACTCTAATAGTACCCCATCCCTCTAGTGCCCTAAGGGTAGGCTTCGATTTTATGGATAAAAACGGCATGCTAATGTTTGAACGTTCAGATCTCTGTTTCTAGAACAGCTATCAACTTATTTCATTGCTGGAAAGCTTTCATTCATTGTAATGGCTCCGGCACCATTACAATATTTACGGTAGCTAGTAGTAGTAGTATTTTGCTCAGGGGTTTTTCGTTTTCTTATTTAGGGTGTTATCTCTGCTGTAATTTTTCATTTAGGGGAGATGTCGGACAAGCCGGAGAGCAGCAAGACTCAACTTGAAGAGTAAAGAGAATGACTTTAAACCGTGAAATTTTCAAATTCAGGGATATCTTCGAACCATTGTTCCAAAAGGATTTCTTGTCGCAGTTGCCAGTGGAGGTTTGTCTTTTGTTAAAGCTTGTGGAATGAATTGTTTATTTTTAGGTTGCTTATCGCATCATCGCTCATCTGACACCGCGCGATTTGATGACTTGTGCTGGCGTTTCGCGGACGTGGCAACGCATTTGTGAAGATGATCGGACGTGGCGACAGAAATGTTTGGAGAAAGGATATGTGAAATTTGATGCCCCAAGGTGTGTTACAGTTTTGGGCAAATAATAGAACATTTAAAAATCCATATCTGATAGATCTATATTAAACTGGGTCTTACACTTCTAAGGTATAGGGCAATAATGTTATTAATTCGAAAGCAAATAAAGATATAAAGCGGAAGAAAACAAATGATAATGTTTGTTTTAAGAACAAGAGTTTTTCACGTTTAAGAATACGATTAGAAAAAGACTCGTCGCTAACTTATTTTGTTTAGCTTTCGTTTTCTCGGAGGTTGGGCGACGAATCGAGCAAATGAGGAAGCGGGAATCACAATCTTCTCACATATGGACCTTCAAGAAGCACATCAGAATCGACGAGAACGCGAGATCGCATATGGACAGTTGGTGCCGACTCGTTGCTGAATTAAATTTTTTCTAGGTGTTATGAGCGATCCTCATGGAAGTCACTGTACTTGCGGAAGCAGCGAATCATTTCCAATTGGCGATCCCGACCGATTCAATCAAGCACTGTTCTAGATGTTTGGACAAATGTTTTGGCTATAAAAATTGTTTTTGAGGGTCACGATCAACATGCGATGAATTATCTACAAGTTCAGTCTGGTCGTATCGTTATTGGTTATCATGATAATACGTTGCGGATTTGGAATGTTGATGATGCTCAAGTTCGTTTCGTTTTGCCATTATTGTACGTCTTAATTTAGCCTGTTTTCACTCTAACTGGCCAGATGGGTGTTGTTAAGACGTCTCAAGTGAGCGATGATGGCAAATACATTGTCAGGTTAGTTAATAGGCTCTAGCTAGTGCAATTGATAAGTGTTGCCAAAGAAACAATTTTCTAGACAAAAGTACTTGTGACAACAAAGTCTATTGCAATAATTCAGTGGCTTGATTGATCGAACCGTGCGCGTTTGGTGCGGTCAAACCGGTGTACAGCGGCATGTTCTGCAGGGGCATGCGAGTATGGTTAACTGCATAAGTCTACATGGCACAACGTGAGTAATCTAAATTTTGTGCTTTAGCTAAATTCATAATGTTTTAGTCTTGTATCTGGATCGTACGACCAAACGCTCCGAGTCTGGGACATTATCGACGGGAAATGCCTTCAGATTTTGACTGGCGACTTGGGGATGGTATTTGTATCAAAGTTATAGCGTCAGCAAAGTTAAATTTCAGGTTCGCTGTGTGCAATTTGATGGAATTCGGGTGGTGTCTGGTGCCTTGGATGGTACTGTCAAGGTTTGTAATGCCTTGTTTAATTTTATATATTCTCTAAGGTTTGGAATGTGCAGACAGGGGAGTGTTTGCAGACGCTGACGGGTCACACGAGGCGAGTCGATTCACTTTTGGTGGGTTGAATTGTCAATTTTTGGCTTTAATCAGGATTCTATTTTAGTTTGAGCCAGAGCGCGATCTTGTCGTCTCGAGAAGTCTTGATAAAACGATTCGCGTCTGGGATATACGAGGAGGAAGTGGGTTTTATTTGTTCGCTATTCTGTTGCAATATCATTTATATTTGTTTCTTTTAGCATGCATCGCAATTCCTATCAGTGGAGAATCAGTCTATCGCTATCGCCACTATGGCATGCAACTTCGCGGAAACAGTTTGGTGGCCTGCTATACCGGCTCGGACGTTGGGGTACGTTTAATCAATCTTATGACAACTACTTCGTTTTCTTTAGGTTTGGGACATTCGTGACGGTGGTTCGTGCATTCACGTCCATTTACAAGGCGTAAATGGTCACGCGTTGAACATCACTTCATTGCAACTGCTCGATTCGGGACTTTTGATAACAAGTTCTGAGGATGGCTCGGTCAAGCTGTGGGATGTGGATAAAGGTATGTTATTCCAAATTACCTAGTAATGTAGGCTATAAGATAAGCAAATTTGTCCAGACTCCAAGTTTTCTTCGAAAGATTTATTAACTACATAGCTTGGCTCGTTAATTAGTCAAGTTTAAATCGATGTTCAGGGTTAGTATACTGTTGTTAATTTTTTTATCAACTATAGGAGAATTTTTGTGATTTTCAGGTATCTTTGTTCGTGACCTCGTTCGTCTTCAGGCTGGCAGTTGGATTTCGCATCTCGAAGCGACCGAAACATTTCTTTTATGTGAAATTGAATCGGAACCGGGAAACAGAACCGAGAACACAGAGCTCATCTTGATCGATTTTGACGCATCGTATCCATAGTTATATTCGGATTGTGGCTCTTTTGCCTTAGCCTTAGCCCTTATTGTGATTTTCCGAAGATTTCTTTCGATTTTTCAATTCTGCTGAAATTTCATTGCCCTCTCGGTTAGCGTTTGTGATTTCCTTTCAAATGTTTCCAACATTTTACACAGTTTCTTGTATGCCAAAGTCTTCATATTGTTAACCTGCTTTTATTTGCTTTTATTTTATTCTCGTAACAAGGGTCATTTCCTTTCTTGCCCAGGGTTTTTTTTTGTGTGATTCTTTCCAGTGGTGTTTGTGTTGCGATAAATTGTGTCTTTTTTCGTTAACTATATGGCAAGGTAAATGGCTTAAACTTGCTCACAAATAAAAGGGAACAGGCTAGACTTTTAAACTTTTTTTACAAAGAGTGAAAAGGCGAGTCGGTGACGTAAAAATGATTATTTTTGGGGGTTTTGATAGGTAACTAAATGTGTTTTCTCATTGAAAACAGTGAGAACTAAAATTGTGAAGTAGAAAACTGAAAAAAAGGTTGCCAAGAAGTTGGATAAAATTGATTTTCAAAAAAACGCGCTGTATTCGTGTATTTAAAGAGACTTTGCGATAAATTTCATTCTGGTCAATTCTTTTAGTAGGTTTATATACCGTAAATACCCTAATAGTACCCCATCCCTCTAGTGCCCTAAGGGTAGACTTGCTTATCGATTTTATGGATACAAACGGCATGCTAATGTTTCAACGTTCAGATCCCTGTTTCTAGAACAGCTCTCAATTTGAGAATTGTTTCATTTGGAAGCCAGGAATGTCAGCTTTTGATTGCTATTTTCTACATGGCGACTTTTAATGACTAGGCACCTCATAAACCTTATCGATACTTCTCGATATTTGTGTATTGATAAGCCTTTTAAGGCACTCACATGAGAATTTGCTATGTGCGAGATAGCAATCAAAAGCTGACATTCTTAGTTTTCCAATGAAATAAATATATAGTTGTACAAGAAACCGAGATCTGAAGGCTCAAACATGAACTGTATCGATAGTATCGTTATGCAAGTCTACCCACGGGATGGGTACTATTACAGTATTTACGGTAGCTAGTAGTAGTATCAGGGTGAACCAAAAGTTTTCTATTTTTTTCTCTTCAAGTTTGAACAATTTTTTGAAGCTAATAAATTCGTTTTATGTATACGTGCCATATTTATTTTGTAGCATTTGATCTGCTCTTTCATATTTTACTAGGTTATCGATATTTTACTATGTTTAACGATTTATTTTTAATTTTTTACTTTGAAGGAAAGAGACGGAAAAATTCGAAATTCGGGTACTTTTGCGCCATAATTGGAAACAAGGGTTCAATGCAACTGAAGCGGTCAAAAAATATGCCAAGTGGAAGTTGAAGGAATGATCTCCAACAATACTGCGCAATATTGGTATCGATTCTGGTACCTCGAGGTTGTACCAAATACATTCAAGCACCGGATGTGATTTAGAATGCTTCTTTTAAAACGAGGATTTGAGTCTAATATGAAGATTGGATGGTGGATGGGTGATCACGAAGACTCACAATGAAAATCCGGCTCCACCAATGTAAACCTATCTAGAATGGGTTTGGAATGCGTGAAAGAAACTCCCGAAGAACCTCATGATGCTCTCATTTAAGAATCGTGCGATTATCACGGTGGCTAAGGATGGTTTGGAAGATAGTCTCATTCACTTGCTTGTTTACCGATAGTTTAGTGATTGCAAAACTAACTGAGCAAATAGATTGATTTCCTGTGCTTTCTTTCTTTCTCGCCTCCTGCCACTAAGCGCGCTAAAAAAAGATTTCCGTTGATGTTTCGAAAGAAGCGCAGCGCAAACTAATAAAAGATTCGATACAAAAGACGCTACAATGTTAGACACAAAGAAGCACAAGTTTGGAAGAAAGTTGAAATTATTTCAAAGCTCAAACAGCAAATATTTCTTTAGACTAAAGCTTTTACAAGTATTAGTTTGCGGAAGAAGTAATGTCGGTCTTTGTCACAAAAATGTTTATTGCTAAAAACATAAACAAACGCACATCAATCAGTGAGATATTCTCCATTATTATTGATGACTTGTTCCAATCTTCGTCGCAAGTCCCTGATCCCATCCTCAAAAAAATGGCGTGGGGCGTGGGGCGGAGCTTTCCAACTTAGCTCGTCGATTTTTTGGTGAGTGATTTTACAGTGTGAGGTTTTTCAGCATTTCAGGTTTTTTCTACAGCATTATCATGCAAAAATAGCACTTTTGATGTTTCAACGCCCAGTTTCTTTAAAGCCTGGTTAACTCTCATCAACTGTTTTGAATAAAACTCAACGGTGACAGTTTCTCCCAGCTTCAACAACTCATACACCAAACCTTTTGTATTCCACCAACAACAAAGCATAAGTTTCTTTCCATGAATATCGGGTTTTCAAATTGGTTGTGGGGGTTCACCTAGAGAAAGCCACTGATTTTTGCGCTTCACATTCTCATATGAATCCATTTCAGGACTCAAACTCGGAGACAGCGGCACTACCACCACACCACTGAGTCACGTTTTTCTGGTGAGACCTTACAAACTCATAAGTAGCTCAGTGCACTAGGGGGTCAAATTTCGTTTTTACAGAAATCTAACACGTTTGGGTAAAAACTAAAAACACCATCGTGTTGCGCGTGTCCGACTCCGACTTGCGTAAGTCATATAGCTTTGGTTTGGATTCGTGCTTTCAAAATCTGACCGTTTGCCTAGTAAGATACAAAACCTTAATAAAAATATTTTCAAAAATCAGAATGATAAGAATTTCATTCATTTAAACTATCATTTACTATCATTCTGATTTTGAAAATATTTTTATTAAGGTTTTGTCCTAGGTTTTGTACTAGGCAAACGGTCAGATTTTGCAAGCACGAATCCAAACCAAAGCTATATGACTTACGCAAGTCGGACACGGGTCTGATTGGCTATTTGATGATTATTTGATGCCTTTTTTTTCAATCCAGAACTCACCCAGGTTTCCAAAGTGATGCTGAATCGAACATCTCCCAGCAGTGAATAAAAACGAGAGAAAATTCGACATCAAATATGTTAACACGATGATTGCCAGACTACGAGTGGCGGCACAGATTCGGGCCTAAGAAGTTGGCTTTAAGATTTGATTTTCTAAGTTTAGGCTAACTAGGGAAGCACGAATCCGAAGCAAAGCTATATGACTTACGCAAGTCGGAAACGGGCAACACGATGGTGTTTTTAGTTTCTACCCAAACGCGCTAGATTTCTGTAAAAATGAAATTTGACCCCCTAGTGCACTGAGTGACTTTAGGAGTTTGTAAGGTCTACCGTCGCTCACCAAAAAAAAGTGTCTCAGTGGTGTGGTGGAAGTGGCGCCGTCTCCGAGTTTGAGTCCTGACAAGGTGACGATTTCATGAAATACTTGGAATAAACATTTTTTTTTAATGTGATTGTTATTTCAGTACAACTATGAAGAAAATTTGATCTATCAAAAAACTGTCTTTCCATGCCAAACTTTCTTGGCAATGTGTACACTCTTAACGTGTAGTTCTATTAGGTTGAGGAAAAAGTAAGGTCGGTTTTGAATTCCCGTTGTTGGCAATTTTCCATTTCTTTGCTGATGCGATTTTCTCAACAAAACAACTCGTGCTATCGTTAGCTCTACTCTGCTTCAAAAGGGCAAATCTCATGATTTTTGGGGAAGAATTCTAAAATCTGATGAAACATGGATTCATATGAGAATGTGAAGCGCAAAAAGCAGTGGCTTTCTTAGGTCAACCCCCACAACCAACTTCAAAAGCCGATATTCATGGAAAGAAACTTATGCTTTGTTGTTGGTGGAATACAAAAGGTTTGGTGTATTATGAGTTGTTGAAGCTGGGAGAAACTGTCACCGTTGAGTTTTATTCAAAACAGTTGATGAGAGTTAACGAGGCTTTAAAGAAACTGGTCGTTGAAACATCAAAAGTTGGAAACTTCTGCCCTACGCAACTTATATTGGGTTGGGGAGAATGAGTCGGCGCCAAACCTTAAAGGGACTTTTTGCACACATAAAGCCTTCTTTAAACATACGTTTGGTTTCATCAAAAGGATCCACTATTTCTCTACAAAATGACTTTTGAGAGATTCCACAAAGCTTTTCTTTCGTGGAGTTTATGAACTTCCAAACGCAGCTGGTTAAAATGGCAGAGTCCGACTCATCATTTGAACAGTTTCTTTCACATAAACCTTCGTTGGTGTTTAGATAAAAAAGATAGAGCACATTCAATTACTTAAGTTGCCAAATTTGCAGGAAGATCCCACCAATGGTTTTTTCTAGATGACAGTTTGTAGTTTTTGTGAAAAAATGGCTTTTTCTTGAGCGGAGGCGCTGTTTGAATTTTTTTAAAAATGTCATTTTGTAGAGAATTAGTTAACCATTCTACTGATATCAAACGCATATTATTTGACGAAGTCGAATAGAAGTTTTAGACATTTTTTTGATTTTCGGCGCCGACTCATTCTCCCCAACCCAATAGTTCGGACCTGGCCCCATCAGATTATTTTTTGTTTCGGTCGTTGAAGAGTTTTCTTATGGGAGAAAGGTTCGAGAATCATGCACAGATCAAAAAAGCAGTCGACACTTATTTTGGCTCGAAAACTCGCCATTTTTTTGAGGATGGGATCAGGGACTTGCTACGAAGATGGGAACAAGTCATCAATAATAATGGAGAATATCTCATTGATTGATGTGCGTTTGTTTATGTTTTTAGCAATAAACATTTTTGTGACAAAGACCGACATTACTTTTTCCTCAACCTAAGACTTGTAACAGCTTTAGTCTAAAGAAATGTTTGCTATTTAAGCTTTCAAATAATTTCAACTTTCTTCCAAATATTTGCTTGTTTGTGTCTAACATTGTAGCGTGTTTTGAACCGAATTTTTTATTAGGTCGCGCTGCGCTTCTTTCGAAACATCAACGGAAATCTTTTTTACCGCGCTTAGTGATAGGAGACGAGAAAGA